CGCGCGGCGGCCCCCCGGGCGCCGGGGCCCGTTGGGGCCGCCCCCAGCCGCTCGTGGACCGTGGTGCCGTCGGCCAACGTCGCCGTCACGCTCTGTGCATCGTCCTTCGAGCCGCTCTCCGTCAATGCCGCGCTCAACCGCTCCATCGCCAGCTGCACGGCACCGGCGCGCTGCTCGCTCTCCGCCAGCTACACCCCAAAAACGATAGCAAAATTAAATGCAATCATTCAAAAAAATATCCACGCAACAGGGATTTAGAGGAATTTGTGCTGTTACCTGTTTCTGGAGCAGCTCAGCACGGTCTTGCATCGCCCGCACCTCCGCTTGCCGCTCGCCCAGGGCCAGCCGTGCCCGCTGCAGCTCGCCCTCCAGCACCCGCTGCTGCAGCTCCAGGCGGGTGCTCCGGCTCTCCGCCACCTCCAGACGCCGCTTGGCATCCTCCAGTTCGGCCTCGCCAGCTCGCACCGCGCTCATCCTCTCCTGCAAGGCATCGGATGGCTGGCACGGAGCAGTCGAGGATGGGGATAGGGGCAGGATCTGGCCCTCCATGGCGATGCCCACCTGGGCGGCTCGACGCTCGCCCTCGGCGGCGTGCAGGCTCCGTTCCAGCGCCATCACCTTCTCCCGCAGCGCCCGCCGCTCCCGCTCGCCCCGTCGCAGCGTCTCCTCCTGCAGCAGCAACGTGGCCTGGGCGCTGCTCAGCTCCCCGCTGCCGCTGCGACGCCCTGCCGGAGCCACGCGACGTGACCTACCTTACCGGGACATGCACAGGGGCCGCACCAGTTTTACTGGGGGTTACGGGGGATGCACAGGGGCTCTTCCCATTTTATTGGGGTTTAGGGGGGATGCAAGGGGGTTTACTGGGGTTTATGGGGGATGCACAGGGGCTTTTCCCATTTTATTGGGGTTTACAGGGCATGCACGGGGGCTTTTACCAGTTTTATTGGGGTTTATGGGAGATACATGGGGAGTATTACCAGTTTTACTGGGTGTACAGGGGATGCATTGGGCATTTACCAGTTTTACTGGGGTTTTTGGGGGATGCACAGGGGCTTTACTCATTTTATTGGGGTTTACGGGCAATGCATGGGGGCTTTTGCCAGTTTTATTGCAGTTTAGTGGGGGATGCAGGGGGGCTTACCAGGGTTTCTGGGGGATGCACAGGGGCTTTTCCCATTTTATTGGGGTTTACAGGGGATGCAAAGGGGCTTTTACCAGTTTTATTGGGGTTTATGGGGGATACGTGGGGAGTATTACCAGTTTTACTGGGTGTACAGGGGATGCATTGGGCATTTACCAGTTTTACTGGGGTTTTTGGGGGATGCACAGGGGCTTTACTCATTTTATTGGGGTTTACGGGCAATGCATGGGGGCTTTTGCCAGTTTTATTGCAGTTTAGTGGGGGATGCAGGGGGGCTTACCAGGGTTTCTGGGGGATGCACAGGGGCTTTTCCCATTTTATTGGGGTTTACAGGGGATGCAAAGGGGCTTTTACCAGTTTTATTGGGGTTTATGGGGGATACGTGGGGAGTATTACCAGTTTTACTGGGTGTACAGGGGATGCATTGGGCATTTACCAGTTTTACTGGGGTTTTTGGGGGATGCACAGGGGCTTTACTCATTTTATTGGGGTTGGGTGCATGGGGGTTTTTACCAGTTTTACTGGGGTTTACTGGGCATGCATGGGGGTTTTACTGGGGTTCGCATGGGGGGTTTTACCAATTTTACCAGGATTTTGGGGCCGTGCGTGGGGGAAATCCCACCAAGCATCCCGCAGTCCCAGGCAGCATCGTCACCACCACCCCCCTGCCTCAGTTTCCCCAAAAGCCCCCGCTGCAGCACGGGACAAATCTCCCTGAATCCCACAATTTGAGGGGGATGCACCCCCAAAAAAAACCCCCCAGCACCTTCCTCGCTCTCAGCCACCAGCTTCTGGAGCTGCTGCGCCCGGGCGCTGGCGTTGTCCCGCTCCTCCTCTGCCTCCGCCAGCCGCCGGCCCAGGCTGCCCACCTGCACCCGCAGCTCCTCCTGGGGCGAGAAAATGGGGTGAGAAAGGGGCTTTTGGGGACGAGGAGGAGGGGAAGGGGAGGGGGGGTGTACCCGCTCCCGCTGCGCGTCCTGCAGCTCGCGCAGGAAATCCCGCAGGGCTGCCCGCACCGCCTCGGGCTCGGTCGCTGCATCGGGGTCTGGGGATGAACCAGGGCTCCCCGACCCCTCCGGTCCCCCACCTGTATGGGAACAAACTGGGTGACACTGGGACAATGGGGCACAGCACCCAAAGGAGGATTGCAAGCCGGAGTGGGATGCGCCGCAGTGGGATGCACCCATGGGATACGGCGGATACCTGGGGATGTAAGAGATGGAGCAATAAGGTATGGGGGACCCCAGGGATGGAGCACTGGGGTGCTGGGGGACCCGAGGGACACAGCGCACACAAGAACAGGGTGATGGGGTGCAAGGAATGGAGCAATAGGATATGGGGGACCCCTAGGGATGGAGCAATGGGGTATAGGGGACCCCAGGGATGCAGGGGATGGAGCAATAGGGTATGGGGGCCCCTAGGGATGGAGCACTGGGGTGATGGGGGACCCCAGGGACACAGGGGGCACAACAGCAGGGTGATGGGGTGCAAGGGATGGAGCAATAGGGTACGGGGGACCCTAGGGATGGAGCACTGGGGTGATGGGGGACCCCAGGGATGCAGGGGACAGAGCAATGGGGTGATGGGGATGCAAGGGCTGGAGCAATGGGATATGGGGGACCCCCAGGGGTGCAGGGAATGGAGCCCCGCAGTGGGATGCACCGCAGCAGGATGCATCCCCCTCCCCTAAGCAAGGGACGGGGCGCTGGGGGTCCCCAGGGACTCTCACCCTTGCCTGGGGAGCTGGCCCGTGCCCGGCCGATGCCCATGGTACGGCGTAGGGCGGACTGGATGCCACCCAGGCGGGTTTCGGCAGCCCGGCGGAGCGCCT